GGAAGGAGCATCCACTTAAAAAATTCGAGAAAATAAATGTGGGATTATTTGAGAGAACAGAAAAATCCACCCACGGCCAAGAAAACAAAACTGGACATGAATATTCTAGAATATTTCCACGATTGAACAATGTGAACCAGATGACCAAGATTGGTATGGGATAAACATATTATCCTATAGTCGGTTCAGGATATTGGTATTATCCCTTGGCCAATTAGGATAATCTCTATATAGGATAATCTCTATGTATTCCATATACATTATGTACCTACTGAGGCTGTTGATGCATTCTACCTTATAAAATTCCAAAACTCAAAGACCTACGCTAAGTACGCATTTTCTCAGTCTTAAAAATATTTTTTAAGTTTGTAAGATTTTCACACTCGTGCATTGCTGGAGCAGACCACTGAGTTGATATCAAAATTCAAAATATACAAGTGGAAAACAATCGTGGATGGTTGACTATTATCCCTAGAGGTGGCTTCTAAATTATGGTGTTAAAACTGTATCAAAATTGGACATCTTATATTTATGTGATATCTCAAACACATAGAATAGCGTTTAGCAGAATACATACACAATCCGTGTGATTTCATACACGTTTTGTTCGAGTTTGTACACTTTATGTTTGTAAAATCACACTTGTTCATGCGTATTTGTGTATGCATTGTTTAAAAATGACATCGAACAGGGTACATAAGTCGAACAAACTCTTGTGCAGCTCGCACAAAGTTTTCCCCTTCACAAACCATGATGTGCCGATCACACACCTTGATGTACCGATCACACACCTTGATGTAACATAAATTGCTTTCTAGAGATGTTCGAGATTTTGTTCTAAATCTCGCGTTACTTTTGCACTGAACGAAATAACACATCAGCGCGGCAAAAAGATAAAAAGATCTAGTTTGTAGTTTCTCAATATATGGCCACTGTACGTCTCCCTAGACTAGGGCCTAGGGTATCCTATTATATATTTTTAATTTAAAATTTACATTTCATCACATTTCAACGAAGGGCGCCATATTGTAGAAATCAGGATGTAAATATCACGTGACTTCAAATCTCACACCTTGTGTGAAGTGCAACTTGTTTGTGACAGCCTATGCGAGCGGGAGCCATCCTATGCGAGTTTGAACTCAATGCGTGTGTAAAATTGACACGTTCGTTCGAAATTTACTTTGATCCATGTGTAATTCTTTCAGTATTCTATGCAACTTATAACACAATCCGTGTGACATTTCAACATTGCTTTTGGATTTTTGGAAAGTGATTTGAGTTAGTGCTAACTCTTTGTGTGACACTTGATACAACCAGTGCGTGTGTGAATGAAAATAAGTTATGTAAGAAAATTAATTGTTGGTATAATATGGATTGAAAATGGCACACGATGATGCGAGTTTCGCATATAATGATGCGTATTTCGCATAGTATGATGCGAGTGTCGAATCATATGGTTCGAGTATCGCATCATATAGTTCGATTTTTCCCATACATCATGTAATGTCCAATTTTGATACAAAATAAATTCCATACTAAATCGTCTAGCCACGATGATATCGTAGATTGACATGCTGACGAAAACCGTCAAGTTTTGAGAAACGAAAGATCGTAGAAGCCGAGGCAATTTAACTACACTAATTAAATGTTTAAAATGTGGTGAACATATTTCCTAAACAAGAGTGTTAATTAGATTAAAACAGGAGTATTCAAGTTTGCGAACGCTCATTAGAGCTTCCAATGATTAATAGATACTCAGAAAAATTGAACACATTGTTAGTACTCATGTGAACTCTCACTAGAGCTTTCTATGATCCTACTATGATTGATATTCACACCGGTCGAACTGGCGAATGTTAACAAAAAATGTTACAAAAATTGTAGGTTTTCAGGATGATGTCTTCGATCTTTCTTGTGTAAGAATTTCTGAAGAGTTGCAACGTCAATCTTCGAATCAATATCTTTGATTCTGAAAACAAGGTTCCCACCTGCCCCCGAAAAACGAGCATAAATTGACCGTGATGGATATACTGTCTACCGATCCCTGTACCGGACCTTGGCGATAGCGGGATGAATCCAGAAAAATATTATCCTGCTCCCTCGATACACTATATCCAATCGGAATGTTCCTAGAACCTCAGTAGGCATGGAACATAGTGCCTATTTGACTCATCAGTTAGCTTCCAAAAATACTTGAAATATTTACTACTGCTACTAAATTGATAACATCACTTTTCATCAATTTCTTAATTGATACATAACCCTTTGATATAGTTTTCTGATTTCAACGTTACATTTGAGACAGGAACATATTAAAATATTTTACCACTGCCGCCATCCTTTGGCCCATCTGGAATACTAGTCAAATGACCTCAAGTCCAGAATCCTGAATAAACCTGATTAAAATTCTAATTAAAACGTTTTGTATTTGCTAATAGATGTCAACCATATCAAATGTTGGTATTTGTATAGTGTGACATTTACTGTTATCTAGTAATTTATTTACTTACGTACATAGTTATTACACGATGATATAATTATGCATATTTCATGCCAGTATTTTGGCATATAGCATACAATCTAGTAAATGTGACATCGTGTAATTATTTAGAATGATATCAATTTTTTATATATGCAATTGTTATCACGGAGGAGCGAAGCGAATCACTGTGATATTGATTGTGTTGATATGATCTAAATGATACCAAGAAAATATATGATTTGTTTTTGAATATGGGGTGTATTATTAAGCGATACACATGTATGGTTGCCAAAGTGTATATACTAGTAATCATATATATACTCCTCAAAAAAAGTTAAGGACCTGTCTTTTTTCCTCATAGGTTTACATGTTAAACCCTATGTATGTTTGAACTCTTATTTTCAAAGCCTGAAACGAAAGAAAAACTGATAATGTCAATGGATATGTACCTTTACTCTATTCTCTATATTTCAAAATTTTTTCAATACAATCTATCCGTTACAATAATGAAGAATTAAAAAAAATGGCAGAACCCATGTAAACCAATGGGAAGTGGTTGAGTTGCCAAAAGTCATAGAAAATATCCATCCATTCAATTGCTCTCAAAAATGGAATATAAATAGACAATTGAATTTGCTAACTTGTCTACAACAAAAAATTGATTTGCTTCTCCAGGTTTTACAAAGTTATGAATCTCAAAGTCAAAATCATTTCTCAACAAACTTCCCATTGAAATAAAATAGGGGTCAAAAATGAGTTTTCAAAAATACGTTGATTGCTCTATATCTGTAATTCTCACAAAGTAAGCTTAACACCAAACATGCAGAAAGTAAAACAATTCAAATGTCTACTCAGAAATTATTTTTAATAAATGTTTTACCGAATAGATATCCAAAAATCTGATTTCCCCCTAACCCCCCATTTCTCATTGGTTAACATAGGTTCTGCCCTTTTTTTAAAAATTCCTCAACTTATAGAATAGAGTCGAGGTACATATCCATTTACATTACCAGGTTTTCTTTCGTTTCGGGCTTAGAAAATAGAGTTTAAAGATACATTGCGATGAATGACCTGATATCGATCGATTGGCATGATAATTATCATATCAAGAAAATTTGATATGGCTATTTTTTAATTGTCGGGTATCTCAATACATATGTATGCGTTCCAAAAAGGTCTATAATTATGCTGCCATTGCACTAACTTTTCACATAATGATTGGACAGCGAACTATTACAATATAATATGTATAATATTACACTTAGAATACGATTTATTGGAGATCTACTTGTAAGGTCAAAGCACAACAATAGATAGTCGATATTGAAAGTAGAAAAAAGTTTCAATATTTCATGTATTTAACATTTGGGACAATGGCAATAATGGGATCGATAAAATTGATATACTGAAAAAATCTTATCATGCTTTTTCGCATCTTTATGGATGAATAGTACAATAACGTCATTTCGAAGGGCAATATAGTGAACTATTGTACCGAGGTCCAATATTTCACTATATCGGCCGCAGAAATGACGTTATTAGTATTATTACCACCGTTAATGAAACAGCAAGAAAATCTTACGCACTGAACGTTATCTAATTTCCCGTGGAAAATTGCCGGTCATTAATTGCATTCTTGACCGGTCTGAAGTGCTATATTGACCGCCACTATGACGTCACTAAGGTCGATATAGTAAAATGAATGCCTTCTAAACTAGCACTAAAACCCCTAGAACTGGCCCAGCAAGGTGGTAATAATGATCTTTACAAGAATATGTATTACATAACTCTACATGAAATAACATTTACGTTTATCTGTTTATTTATCTATTTGTTCATTTGTAACAAATACTTTCCATGAATGTAATATCAGTGACAAAAAATAATCATAATTATTTAATTGACCAATTTAATATTGAAATATAATTGTGGCATAAAACGTATGTTCTGAATAATTCTAACTCCTTGGCACACGGCACCTGTCGATAGAGATCGCCTAGGGGAATTGTGCGGTACATCTTTCAAAATATATGTCATTAGACTCATCTTACAACCGTTATATTACTTTAGAACCTATAATTAAAACACAACATATCATAATTAGTTTTAGAATTTTATTTATTCGTTTTCCAATATGTTGAACATAATTTCGATTCATATATTATTAAAAGCTAAACTACATTCACTTTGAATAATTGAATTTATACAATAATTTAAAGGCTATACTACAGCATATCTTATTGCAGATATGTTTTCAAAGAAAACGTTCATCAATGTTTAAATATATTTACATGTTTTATTTACATTTTATAATTTGATTTTGATATAAATTGGCATCTATGGGCACTGTTCGTCATCTTCAACAAATGCTGAAAATAACAAAACATTTTTTCATACACATTCACACATTTCACACTGTATTATATTACAATATTGCATATGTTGTCCCTACCCTAAATACGATTGCAATAGCGTCCCTGCCTGTATCATACAAATATTGCGGCTTGTCCCTACCTAAACTAAGAAATAGGTTTGTTTGAACTATATCATGTAGAATTAATTTGACAATATGGAGGTCAGGATGTTGGATAAAAAAATTAATAATGTCATATCTCTCAAATCAGTAGCGCCCGGTTCTATAGACAGGATGTGGTACACACAAGAATGGCACAGTCAGGTGGAATTGAAAAACATCTAACGAAGCTGTGATGTTAATTTCTCGTGTTGTATAGATCATTTGGTATATCTTAACCATCATGCTATAAATCACCAGACCGTATTGTATAGAGGCTTAATCGTTTTAAATAAACTATAAATATTCAATTACATCTCAATTGCAACACCAGTGGATTAAAACAGGTAGTTTGCATGCTCTATTGCATTGCGTAGTACCCGTATCCAAGTATGCTCGTCATTTTGCATTAATATCTAGAATACTGATGCTACAGATATCTCATCCTACCGATTAAACATGCATTATTTATAGAGGCTCTTATAATGGTAGATAATTCAAGTACTTTAAATTCAGAAATATTGCGATACATAGATAAGCCACCAGAATTACTCTGGGAAAGAATCGAGCTTTAATTGAGATGCTTTTTAATTACGAGACTCTCATTATACTGCATCACGTGTCAGCACATTTAGCCAAATAATTCATTCTCTCAACAAGTGTTTCATGAAGCTTTGAGTAGGTGGGCGTATTCAGACATGTCACTCAATTGATCTGATTAATGATATTCAAATAATTAGCTAAAGGTGATATTAGATTATATTTGTCTATGGGGCTATATACATTTTGATGTCCATTTGACCGGTATTTGGCACTTGAGGATTATCTGCTTGCGATTTTACAGAAGCATGAGTTCTTCCTTACGTTCACATGCATTTCTGATATGTACATTATATTTGTTTCGAATGTTAATGTCGATACACGAGTTTGTGTGAGAATGGACAAAGATGCATGCGTCTATGTCACCAGTAATGCACATCGTCGTGTACGTGTTGGTTAGTTGTGTTTATTATGGGACTGATCTGCTGGCTTGTTTGAACGGCTCCATCTCCATGTACAATGTCACTCATAAACTGGATATAGTCAATTGCAAGTTTCAGTGTTTGGATTCTTGACATCTTCTTCTCATACGGAAACATAGGAATAGTTTGTCTCAGACTGTCAAATGCGACGTTTAGGTAATTCATTCTCCTGCGTTCTCTCTGGTTTGCTGCGACTCGTTGGTTTTTCGTGATAACACGTTTACGTTTTGTAGTTCCTCCGCACGATTGATCGTTCAGCCACTCCATTACATTTTGACTGAAATTTTCAGAGTCAGTTTTCGTTGTACAAGCTCTGTCGGATTTCCGTTTTCTGGACTCTGAATTAGTGTTATCAGTGTTCATGCATGTGTACGCATCCTCGGAGGGTGATCGCAGGCACGTTCCGCTGTCACTACTTGAACATGCAGGACTATTACCTGAATACATCTGGTATGTGACTTCTCCGTTAGGTTGATATGGTGCGTCGGAGTACGAATAATTCACATGATCTGGACTGTAGGCCATTTTCTTCTCAGGCGGGAGTATTCTATAAGGTGTAAGACACCGTTGTATTCAACTGGAAATTTCTGAAATGAAAATGTAAGATATAAATTTTACGTTTTCGCTTCAAAATTATAACAATACTAACTGGATTCGAATTAAAAGAAACGCACAATTATTGAAATATCAGTCAGAATCAGCAGATTATATAAGTACCAATACACTTTCAATTAATTCCAATAAATGTCATTGAATCTAACTCTATACATCAGTTGATATTATAAATGACAGGTTAAAAGTCCATATGCATATGTATAATGCAAATAAAATAGCTATTTATATTTCTTTATTTATGAATTGTGTTTCAAAATAATCTGTCAGCTTTAAAAAAAATTAGACAGAAAAAATCTCTCTCATAAATTGATTCAAATTTATCAATTTACTGTACTATATCTAATGAACAAATCATTACGATATATGGCAAATTATCAATTAATGCTCTAATTCAATTAAGAAATTGATTTAATTAAAATAATTCCGTAAATAGAGGATTTTTACCTGTTGAGTCTGAAGTGAAGTGCAATTGTCCTCTTTCCCTCAATATTTCTGCAAATGTTGTCGTCAGTATTTTGTGTTCTTCTCTAGTCCCGTTTCCAGTTTGTAAAACAGTAAGTGAAACACGAATAAAATATTTAAAAAAGTTCCTCATTATATACATAACTTTTAGTCTAATTACCCACTAATTACTTCTGACGACACTTGTGATTGGATAGAGTATGACAGATATTTTGCACCCGTACACGCGCCACTTAATTAGCATAAACGTTTAGTTGCCTAAACATTATTGTCAGGAGACATCTGCAAAAAAAGCAAAAAAGTTGTCACTGCAACTCTTAACGCGTCAAACGCAACAATTAAATATTGATTACAGATATAATTACTACATGTAAATTATCTGAGTCCACTATATGATTTATTTAGCCTAAAATAATTTTCCAGGTGGTTATTCAAATTTACCGCTATTTTTAAAACAACGAATTTTATTGGTCCATCGCCTAAAAAGTGCAATTAAATCCCGAAAACTAAGAAGATATTAATTAACATTATCATAAGTGTGCCGTTACGATTTCCCCGGGTTATGGAGAAATTATATCGTTTCACTATTAAGAATGGTAATTAATGCAAAGATTGTTAGATTTGATCTTTGATCAATTTTATCGCCTAAAAGGAAAGAATATAATCAATAGCGTTGAAAACAAGACTTGTAGACCCTCCGATTATAAACCGTTATATAGGCTACCACGACATTTAGACCTAATTATATTCGTATTATACTTTCTCATAGAAATAAATATTCTGTTTAACAGAGCGATTCACAATAATATTTCTATTATCAGATCTTTTAAAAACATTTAATATGCTGATGAGGCGATTGTCTATCGCTTTTTGTTGACACATCACGGTGCCTTCATTTGAGCTGCCTTCACTAAGCATACGCTTGGAAACATAAAGAAGAATAAAGTGTTATGCTGTATAAGGGTTATGATAGAATTTAAGTGTCTGAACGCTTAATATAAAAACAATTACGAAACACATTGTTTTCATGGTAACTCTACCACATAGCATATAGGAAGTTCCAAGGTCAGTTCACATTCAAGAGTATACCCACATAATGATGATATACAGTCAAATGTAGAAAAAGAAAACACATCAATATTCACACAGTGCTCCAAGATGAATAGGAATACATTTGTATTCTATGCATTTTGTGGTTGCGAACGCAATCATCTGATTAATATTTGGTGTCTTTAATCTATCCGTCTGAATATTTATCCGTTGATCTTGAAACAGTTGGAGTCTGATCTCAATGATCAAGCACAGTTTGATCAACAGTGAAGTAATATGAGCCACTAAGATTGTTTCAGCACTCTGCAATATATCAGGCTAATTTTGAGATAACGTTGATTGAACAACTTTAACTTTCTCTTGATTTTGATGATATTTTACATTTTATATGTATAATTGTATATACTGTATATATTGCATAAGTTCTTTAGATTATATCACCAAATGTTAAATATAGTATCAGATCTAGAAAACAGCGTTTCAACTTTTATATTATTATTTCAGGTCATTACTTTTCTTGTCAGTTTTCAAAATATCCAAATATTATGTAAATATTTTATTCTATTGAGGTGAATACCTGTGCATCTTTCACTGTGCAGGTATTCACCGAAAATATATATTTAACGGTTGATATCAAAACAGTTGGAATTTGATCTCAATGATCGAACACAGTTTGATCAAGAGCGCAGTATATTGCGAAAATATCAGCAAAAATGCACCTTGTTTGTGGTCGGAACATACTAGATTTTTTATTTCCCCCGGATGTCTTGATTTCCGGTTACTACGGCAACCATTTCTTATCTAACGTTCCTGTCGTACTAGCTGTTTTTGCTGGATTAAGAAGACATTCTTTGCTGCACATTCTGTGAAAATGTCATTAGAATATATTGAAAAATAAGAAATTAGAGAGATGTTTTGAGAACTTTTTGATCGCCCCTTGTATATGAATGTCCAGAGAAAATCAATGCAAAAAACGAACATGGTTTTAATAACTCAATAATTAACATGATAGCCTGCACCTTTTTATTAGTTATTATACTGCATTTCCGGAAAATGTTTAATGTTTCTTGCAATCATCACCTTTATATATCTGATTCTAGCTTTAACTTGTCCAAGTGTCTTTAATCTATCCGTCTGAATATTTATCCGTTGATCTTGAAACAGTCGGAGTCTGATCTCAATGATCAAGCACAGTTTGATCAACAGTGAAGTAATGTGAGCCACTAAGATTGTTTCACCATTCTGCAATATATCAGGCTAGTTATGTTTTTGATAGTTTATTTGCAAATTCAAAGATTGTTTTCATATCTGGACTGTTGTAGGTTTTCTGCAACCACTTCCATTATACTGTCAATAGGCTAAATATAATCAGATACTAAGGGAACATTTAAAAATTTCAGATTTTTTTTTCTTGTGATGGTGACACTATTCTTGAAATTGATATATGCATGTAGCATCATTTTCTAATTCTAGGACACTATAATTAATCATATTCAGCTATAGAATACAAGCACGAGATGACACCCGGGAGGTGACAATGGTTTGGGGCTAGTATTTAAATGTTCTTTATTATTTATTTTATTCTACGAAGTGTTATATAAAATGATTTTACAACTTTTTTTGTACCCATCATTGTTTGCAATAACCTGTATGATGATAAAGATTACATGTGTACACAGATTTGCGATGCATATATACAAGTCTGTAAGCAAATGAAGTTAAACAATGTTAAATACATTATTACGTATTTTAGAAGATGTTTAACCATTTTTCATCAATTAACCTCGTAAATCTTCGCAAACGAAAACTCATCATTTAAAGTAAGATCTTACTTAATATTAGAAATGTTGAAATAGGCAGAAGTTGAATTTATAAATCCCTGCCCAAATAATATAATATTAATAATGTAGTATTGGAAAGCATAACCATTTTTATCATTTTAATTGTCAAGATGATCCAAGTAGTGATCACCAATGTCTAATTCAAAGATCAAAAATAAGAAAATATTAATTGATTTGGTGTATTTAGACTTATCAATCAACAAGTTTTATTTCCTAATGTGATCGGAACAATGCAATGCCTTTAATCTATTCGTCTGGATCCGCATTCTTCATAAGACAGTCAATGATCTCAGTGATCAACCGCTTCTTGATCTTGATGATCAACGGCTTTTACACTTGCAATAGTGTGAGCCGCTCTGATTGCGGGATGTTAATGGAGTTGATTGATGTATCACTTATAAGACGAGTGCCTTGGTCTTGGTCGTTTGAATTCTGGAAAATGCTATCAATAGGTTTATCAAATGGCCCAACCGCCTACTATAAAAGCTCACACTCTTTCTATAGTTCTAGAGAATTCACGTTTTTATTAACATTTAACAAAATGAAGATTACAACGTCTTAACCTACTATTTTCAAAGGTAGTAGTCTTATAAACAATATGTAAATCGTACGTAATAATTATAACATTGTTTGTAATGAATGTGACTTTTGTCACTTTATTCTTTATCAACGCAATGATTGAATGAAATAACACCCAATGTACATTCGATAGCTTTACACCAGACGAAATGACAGATGTATGACTTCTTTTGATTATTTCTTGGTCATATGCAGGAAATGGACCAACCAGAGAACGGGAATATGACATTTTACTTCGTGGCCAATTGATGTTTTCCATATCGCTTTGAAATCTCGTTTAAGTCTCGTTTTAATGAGATTTTAGGAGATCTGCATTTTTAACCTCTTAAGACCAACATTTTCTTCTTTTTGATGGCATATTTGAATTCTGCGTGTTATTTTCGATTAAAATAGATTTGATTTGCACAGTTATTTACCTCTATTCAAATTCTGAAGATTTTCAAGTTTTCTGAAAAAGGTCGGGCTAAATCCCCATTGGCACAATGTTAGAAAGCTTTAAATATCCTTAATATCCAGGGTCATAATATCAGGGGTCACAATCTTAATGTTATATCACAATCAACGTGTTAACAAGATCACATAGTCATATGCCAATGGAGTTACAGGTACATATGAATCCAAATGGAAATATTTGAAAAATCAAGAAATTAAATGATTTTCTGTTAGTTCTCTGTATACTTGCAATGGTATCCTAGCCCTACCAACTCTACCGACCAATTGTCAATTGGCGAAACTTTGTTAACATTTAGAGTTAAAAATGACTCGAAGGGGATTAAATATTGAGATTTGGTATTAAATTCATTGCTATATTTTCTCAGAATCTGAAAGCAATCAATCAATTAACAATGATTCAATCTAAACAATTTTGAAATAAGTCTTTCTTTGTGGATCGATTCCATCAATGTATAAGAAATCATCTCAAAAAACATCCTTCCGATCAATAGATGGCGTATTGATATGTCCTTTAGGTCGCTTTGGAAAATACGACGTAACACAGAACAGGATGTATCTGTTACAAGGAACATAACTATGATCTCGTTAATCAAACTCTTATCTAAGATATTAACAGTTCTATATAATTATCAATAAATTAACAATCATCCCCGACCGTTGCTTCGAAACAATAGTTCCTTACAAATATCATTTTTGAATTATTTCCTCTCATATATTGTTATAATAGCGAACTAGATTATCGTTATGACACTTTTATTTCCAACATTTCCGAACTGAGCTTCCCTCTTTACATCAATCAGTGTATAATGAGACATCTACTGAGCTATTAACAGTTCACCTATGCAAATATAATCACAATATTACGCTGTAACTATCGAGCTTCAAATATCTTTTTTCATCTACAGTTCTTCGCACACGATCTTGGAGATTGTTTCGGATAAGGTCCGTTGCCTTTTCAATTTCGAACACGTGCTAATCTTAGATTTTGGGTTTGTATGATCACAACGTCTGGTGCTTTTAGTAACTAGAGACATGGATTCTAAAAGATTGTCCAGTCGTGTCCACGAATCTTCGATTTTCGAGTTACGAAGTTACAATACATGTATATAGAATTGCTAGTATGGTGTTTACAGTATTTGAGGACTGAACATTATACTTTTAGCCCATAGACATTTCTAGATCTTGGACTGCAAATGGCCTTCCTGGGAAATCATTGTACTTTCCGAGTTCCATCTATATATACCGTAGATATCGTTTGTCATCCTCTACTCCTACATTAAATCTCAATTTACCAAATGAAGAACGAAGACTATATTATGTATTTTAACAAAACTT